CTGTGGCTATGGCCCTGTCCTCCTCCAAGTCCAGGCAGTGGGAAAACAGCAGGTGACGCAGTCTAGATGCTGACTTCCCCCTTGGAATGAAGTTCAGCAGTTATATTAGAGGAAGAGCAGGCTTGGCACTCTCCCAAGCTGGAATGAGCCCCTCAGGAGACAGTTACATTTCTGTCTCAGAAGGTGGCTTTAGGAAAGCCAGTCAAAGTGGAGATGTAAGGATGGGGCTTTGAGTATCTCCCCACCCCCACCCCTGCTGCCACGCTCCCAGAATAGGGAAGAGCAGCCTTGCTTTACCTTTGCCTTTTAGCCTGGCCTGAGGCATGGAATTTTGCCCACTTCATTATCATACAACTCTCTGGTGCCTTCACCAGCAGCTTACATAAAAGAGGTGTTTGGTGAACGTCCACTGACTATGAACAAGTCAAAGGCCTCGTGACCACCAAGGTTCTACCAAGTCAGTCGGGTTTAACACGGAGACTCCATTGGTAGTAATCACTGCTCTCTCTCCTATGAGCAGAGAGGGTTTCTGCACAGAGAGCTGAATCTGCAAATCTATCCTGGGGAAGCAAGCAAAGCTGTGGCCAATTGCTCCCCCGTGAAAGTCAGCCTGCCAGCCAGAGAGTATGCTTTCTCCCCAAGGCCTGTGCAACGCCTGCCCTGTCCTCACCGCCTGCCCCATCCTCTGCCTCCCTGCATCCTCACTGCCTGCCCCAGAGAAGAAGCTCTATTTCCTCCCCGGCAGAAGCGTGAACAGCAACCTGCCCATTGCAAGTGTCCTAAAATACAGAGCACTGGATGGCAAATCCCACTCAGGTCCCAGAGAAGGCATTCAACACAGTCCTTGTGTGGTGGATCTCTGCTGCCAAGTGTATGTAAGACATCAAAGCCCAAACATCACTGCTTCACTTTCTTATTTCAAAGTATTTTTATGCTTCTAAAATATGAAAGGAAGTAACAATTACTAAAACTAAAATATTCAAAGAGGAAAACAAAAATTAGCCAAAATCCCACACATAAAAACATGATTAATATTTATATGTCTCTATTTTCAGGAACTACATGTAAAAAGTCATGAGCTAGGAAGGGAGGATTTTCTGTTCTCCCCTTTTCCACTCAACCCTGTTTCCGTGTGTGTGTGTGTGTGTGTGTGTGTGTGTGCGCGCGCGCGCACGCTTGTGCACACATGCCCATGTGCCAATAAATAAGAATCCACGCAGTTCATTTTGACAGCTGCCTAGGTTTCTGTCTTACATATAGGTAATTATTTAATAATCCCTAATCACTGATCCTTCAGTATCGTTCTAACTTGTCGCTTTTATAAATAGAATCTTTGGGCCCCCATCAGAGAAACCTTTGCTTCAGTAGGAAAAAAAAGAAAAAACAGAGGGATCCCCTTTGGCTTAGAAGGCCTGGGGCCTCTCCATGGTTACAGCACCAAGCCTCTGAGAGGAGGGTGTTTTCTGGATTTCCACTGCACAGAGCCCTAGGCAAGGGATGGGACAGAGACGAGAGGCTGGACCCTCCCCCCATTCACTGCACAGAGCCCTAGGCAAGGGATGGGGCAGACACAAGAGGCTGGGCCCCCAGCTCGCCAAGCTTCCTGGCCCTCTCACAAACTTGACCCCCACGGGCCAAGCAGCTTAGCATCCATGGGATTTGACTGTTTCCTCTTCTCCCTAAAGATAACAGTTCCGAGGTCAGCCCAAGTCTGATGCAGGTCTCCATCCCAAGCATCTCAGCTCCCTCTATGCTTCATTGTAATTTTCCCCCCTGCTCCCCCGTGGGATGCCCCGTGGACAGCCTCCTTTACACATACCATACCAATTCTGGGACCCGTCACTCAGAGTCGGCACACTGGGTTCCTCTCCCCAGTCCAGGAGACCCCCCCCCTCCAGCAGGAGGTCTAGCTGGGTGTCCTTTTCTGTTCTCTAAGCAAAGGCCTCACCGCTCCATCTCTCCTGAGTGTGACAACCCATGCGAGAAAGGCCAGAGACTTCTCTATGCAGCCCGTGAGAAGAGTCATTTTCCTCACCTCCTCAGACAGGGGCCTCTAACAGTACAGTGGTCTTCTAGTGAGAAATCCCCTCCACCTGGAGGTAGCAAAACCATTCCCACCTGCTGAGAACGGGGTGACAACAACTCATATCCATAAGAAAGTCTCATCAGGGAGTCTACAGGTAGAAAATGTGGTCATGGCATGCCCAGACATGGATGCCAAGGACAACTGAGATCCAGTGAGTCTCCCAGCAGGCCAGGGTAGCTGAGCTCCTTAGGGACTACATGACCAAGTTAGGACTGTAGTGTCTGGGCCAGAATGTGGAGGTGGCATTTGTACCAGACTGACTTTGAGAGGTCTACAAGGCGATACGTGGAATGAGGTGGTACCTTGCAGAAGACTATGGCGCAGATGGTCTCAAATGCCAGGTTTTGATTGGATTGGGTGAACAACCAGTGGGGGAAACAGTGTCGTTTAAGGGCTGGAAAAATGGCTTGGCGATTAAGAGTACTCAGGGCTCTTCCAAAGCACCCAAGTCCGGTTCCCAGCATCCACTCTGGACAGCTAACAACTGCCTGGAACTCCAGTTCTCTTCTGGGCATGAGTGTACACACCCCACCACACACACACACACACACACACACACACACACACACACACACTTAAATAAAGGTTTGCTCAGCCGAAGCAAGACAGAATGGAGCAGATAGTTGGGGATCATTGACTTGGTAGCTCTGCAGAGCAAAAGGATGCTTATAAGTAGTTGTTCCCGCTAGCTCAGGAAGGTGTACGCACACACTGCTTGAGACCAGGGGACTGGTTTCCACTGAGGTGAAGTAGGTGAGACCAAAGGGCTCAGGAAAACCACAGCATTGCGCCTCAGGACAGGCTGAGGTTAGGATTACAGCAGGGCTTCAGTGTGGAGCAGCATGCAGGGACGGCCATTTTCCAGTCTCTCTTTCTCTGTCTGCCCCTATGCATCTGACCTTCCTGTGGGTCTGAAGGTCAAGAAAACTTCTGGCTCCACAGGCTGTGCTTCAAATCGTGTATCTTTCCTCCAGCTATGACCACGAGGGCCGTCTGACCAACGTGACACGCCCCACGGGGGTGGTGACCAGTCTGCACCGGGAAATGGAGAAATCCATCACCATTGACATTGAGAACTCCAACCGGGATGATGACGTCACCGTGATCACCAACCTCTCCTCAGTGGAGGCCTCTTACACAGTGGTGCAGGGTAAGGCCCCAGCCCAACACCCTCAGCCCCCACCCAGCTCATCCCCAGCTGCAGAGCCAGCAATCCCTCGCCTGATGGAACTTCTAAACATCCAGAACATCCCTCAGTCTTCTGTCTTACTTAAATGTCTACAGCACACCCAGGCTGTCAGAAAACAGCCCCGGGGGGGGGGGGGGAAGAAATAAAACAAAAATAAATCTCTCAGCCTCAGGCAAATGTCATACCCTCTCACCAAAGGTTTAATTATCTGGAGAAACCTACGTATCCAAAAACATCTGATTTTTTTCCCCCAACTATTTTCTTCCTCTTTCTTACCTATTTCCTTCACCCAGTAAAAATCCAACCCATGCTGTTATTTTCTCAAGCAGTGTTTATACTCCTGGGCGACCACTGGGTTTGGGTTTCATCATTCCGTTCTGATTCTCTCTTGCAAACACTCTCAAGCATTCTCTTGCCAGGACCCAGATCCCAGGGTCTCTGACCACCCGCTGTTTCTGTTGTAGGCAGTCCAGGGCAAGCACAGGGGCTGGCAAGAAACAGCGTTTTACAGATTAATTTTTTCTTTTAATTAAGATATAATGTCGGTGGGCTCGCCAGTTGTCAGAGGATAAAAGTGTCCTTTCCGTAGATAAATGATGACATTTCTAGACTATTATCCCTCGGCAAAGCCTGTTTCAATGGCTCTATTTCTGCTCCGCCAGATGATTAACGATGTAGATTCTGTCCTTCTGTCTGATGGCCAGAGTCACTGAGTGACAGGTACAACCTTGCTCGCTCCCCCAAAGCTGGCATCTCAGGGGCCAGCCCAGCCTGGCTTCTTCACCCAGATGATGAGGAAGCAGCGTGCCTATAAAAGCGGGCTCCTGCTTGTGATTATCAGATACAGGGAAAGGTCAGAAGTCTGATTGACTGGTGTAGATTCTATTCGGGAAGATAAACACACATTACCAGCCCCCATTGACTCCATCTACCCCACACTGTGTGTTTCCCGAGTTCTGTGGTAACATAGTGATACAGGCAGCAATGATGCCATGAAGGGGGGGACGGGAGCTTCATCTCTTCACTGTGCTGACGAACACTGGACTTGCCTTGCAGTGCCTCTGACCCATGCCTAGACCATCAACCCTGGGTTAGACGAGAGGCCAGAGAGGCGGAAAAATGCAAGCCGTTTGCCTTTCATTTATTTCTTTCTTCATATAAGCAAAAATATATATGTTAAAGTTCAGGGATTTGATTGACACAAATTGTGTAGGCAATAGACATCTTTAAATGTTTAAATGTGCTATTAATAGTCTTCAGTGAGTAAAAGAAAAATATCACGGCATAATTATTTCTGGAGTGCCACATATTAATAATGTTTTCCTTTCCATGGATCAGTAACATCTCCGCTACTCACCTTCCCATTGTGTGTGTGCTAATTGAAGGCAGCCTCAGACTGACAGCTGCAAAGAACCGTGGAAACCTGTAAAAATAGGGGTTCTATTCTCTCCCGACTAATCAAGCGGATAATTTCTCTCCCCCCTTCCCACCCCCACCAACCTCCTTCCAGATCAAGTGCGAAACAGCTACCAGCTCTGTAACAACGGAACCCTGCGGGTGATGTACGCCAACGGCATGGGCGTCAGCTTCCACAGCGAGCCCCACGTCCTGGCAGGCACCATCACCCCCACCATCGGCCGCTGCAACATCTCCCTGCCCATGGAGAACGGCCTAAACTCCATCGAGTGGCGCCTGAGGAAGGAACAGATTAAAGGCAAAGTCACCATCTTCGGGAGGAAGCTTCGGGTAAGCAGGTCCCTTCTTGCCCTGCCACAGACTTGGAGGGGGACAGGCCCCCTTCCTCACACTGCAGAGGGGAATGTTAGGCCTCCAGAATGCCTTCCGACCCTCAGAAAGTGGGAGATGTTTGCCTCTAGGTTTAAGGAAAGTCCCGCCATTTCCTGAGACAGATGGGCAGCCATCCCTGTGGTAGACTCATGGGGTGCCTCAGCTGGAGACGGTATCGGTCTTCGGTTTGCACCTCCCATCTCCCTCAGCTGTCACTATCAGGGCAATGCGACACATGAGTCAGGGCTGCTATCTACCGGGTGCTTGGCAATCTTCTAAATCCTGGAAGAGCAAAAGTAAAAGTGTGTTATTTGCAGCCAAGCAGTGAGGTTCCCTTAGAAATGCAGACACAGAATGACCACAGGGTGTGTGAAGACAGACCCCTTGGGTATACTGTGTGGCCACAAAGGAAGATGTCTGCAAGCCTGAGGAATCAGAGAGGTATCCCGAGAGGAAGGAACAAAATATGTGCACCAGGAAGTTTTGACCAGCCCTAACCTACATCTTTGTAAAGCTAACGAAAACACATTTATTGAGAATATCCGTGCAAACGCTATGTGAAACACACTCACTGCGGATGTCTGTGCTATGGGCACTAAGTTAAATGCTTTATTTGTGTTACTGTAATATTTTTCAGTAGCCTGTTGCAATCTCAGGTGAGAAGCAGAGATTCATGGAAGCTAATTAGAAGTCAGGACATAATGGCTAAAACTCAAGGCTAAGCCAGAGCTTGACCCCGGGTCCACCTCTGTCTTGTTCACTGGCCAGTATTCTTAGCCACAGTCCCACACATCTTCCTATTTTGATGATCGGAGCCCTGTAGCTCCTGTTCCTGTCAGTTCTTGTCACACAGAGGGACCTGCTCCTACCATGGTGACAACCCTTCTCCCAGGGTGAGGAGATGATGGCCAGAAATGTGTCTCCATCATAGCCAAAACATGTTTACCGAGCACTCAGGGCCGGGCCCTGTGCTGGATCCTTAAGGTAGATGTCACACAAGCAGAGCGCAGACCTGCCTGCTCATTCAGGGGCAAAGGGCAGGAAAGAGGAGTCAGCCAAGAAGGAGACTTATAAAGAGCTAAGATAACTGCAGGTCAAGAGAGGCCCTAGGAAAACAGCCCGCCAGAGTGCCGCAAAGTCTAAACAGTGCTCCAGAATCCTGGGAGCTAAGACGGAGTGCCTGACAAACCTGGGTCATCGCTTCTGAAGCCCAGCCAGCCAGGTGACCTCCCTGCAGAGCCAGGCCACTTCATATTAAGATTCCGCCTTTGTCGGGCTCAAGTTTAATTCTCCACATTAGGTTATCAGCAGACTCCATGTTTTTCTCCCTCTGCTGATATCGGCAAAGTTGCAAGCTGCGGGATCTTCCTAAAGACAAAAATGGAATGAGATTAGTGGCTAAATCCTTAATGACTGGATTCAGGGCTGTGTAATTGATTTTTGATATGCTGCACTGTAGAAGTTGATTATAAGTAGTAATCGTGCCTTTTCCTTGATAAATTAGCTATGCGTTTTGACTAAGTTTTCAAAATAAAGATAAATGTGGCCCGAAAATAAAATGGCAATAATCCCAACTCTGAATATTAAAACTCTTAATAATGGTACTTGTGGTAATTAACAGAAGTTAGGCACGCAAGTCTTATAACTGAATTTCTGCCAGGGTTAGACTTGCTGGCATCATGTTTATGCAAATCAAAACACAGTTTTATCTATCAACACCTCAACATTTAATTGTCTGGTGTTCGTTCCTGTAACAATAATCACATATCCATTTAGCTCTCTTAAATGAAAATCACTATGAGATTATAACAGGTTGAGTGGACTGAAAATGTAATTTGAAAATGAGGGAGAAAGCCTGGAATTTATTTGCATCTCATTTATTTTAATTCAGTTCATAAACTGTTTAGTGAATGAAATAAAAGAAACTCCTGGAAACTGTGGGGGAGCCAGCGGAAGAAAGGTGTGGGGGAGGCCCTGAGCTCAGTGTGGATCGGGGCCTTTGGCTTGGCCAGTCCTTCCTGAGCTTCAAGAGCTCCTTATAGGAGCTTTGTAGCCCCTAAACTAGCGACATCTGTCGGCCCCCGTGGCAGCAGGCTGTCTCAGCTCATGATGATAGGAACGTTCAAGTGGCACAGTGTTAAGCCAGTACCACAAGACAAGGGCCACACACTGTATCAGCCAGAAGTAGGTAATCCATGTCACAGGTAACAAATAGGCCCGGAAGTTTCAGACGCTTAAGTCATCACAGTTCAAATGAGACACACAACAACTCCTAATGACAATTAGACACAGCTGTTCCATGTTGGGATCCTACCACATGAGGCACCTATTGCCCCGAAGGCTGCTGTAGAAGAAGAGGGGTTGAAACACTTCAAGGGAGCTTGGTGAGCTAGCCTGAATGTCACGTGCAGCCGTTCCACACACCCAGGACTGCACAGTTTGGTTAACCCCCCAGGAAGCTTAGAAAATGACTTTTCTGACTGCTGGGGAGAAACTGAAAGATTTGGGGAACCCAAATCAGGTCACAGGGTTGACAAGAGACTAGGGAGGGTTTCAGGGTTGGAGTCAGTGCTTTGGAAGTAAGAGTAGCAGAAACTAGACGGGCAAAGATACCGTAAAGACGTTTCCAGACAGAGAGGCACCCTCAAGAAGGCCAGGATACAGGGGTGTAGGGGGCCAGTTCAGAAAACCTCCAGAACTCGTAAGGCCTGAGAGAAAGTAACCAGGGTCACACGGAAGGGACTGTTAGGCTAGGCGGATGTTTATCCTGAGAGCCATGGAGAGTTGTCTCGGGGCTTAATTAGCAGAGTGATGCGTGGGGGTGCGTGGATTAGAAAGATCTCTCCCGCTTCCCTGGGTGCGGAGGAAGACAGCGAGGAGGAGACCAGACAGGAGGAGAGGGACAGCTCAGAGCTGTTACGGTAATGCAAACTAGAAACTGGTCTCCAGCAGGGGAAAAAAAAGAGAGGAGAGGGAGAGGCCTGAGAGAATTGTAACACACATGATTAATAGGATTTGGCAGCGAGCCTGGCTGCCGTGCCGCACTGACTTCCAAGAGGCCTTTCACGTGATCATGTAGACCAGGAAGGCTGTGCCAGACTCTGAACATGATGGAGAGAGGCCAGACACTGAAAGTCAGAATAGGTGTGGGCGGCAGAGTGACCCCAGCCCTGCCTTCTAGGATGAGGAGACTAGGGGAGGAAGTTGAAGATGTCGCTGGTTCCCCAGGGAAAGCATTTGGAGTGAGTCTGGGGAGCTAGGGTAGCAGCTGGCAATATCACAGGCTAAACCAGATGGATGGTCTGGCCTTTCCCCAGCACCAGCTGACTCCTGCAAGTCTGATCACTTGGGGTTGTAAGGCCGGGCTCTGAGTGGTCCAGTGTCGAGAGGTTTCCAAAATTTCCAGTAAAGAACTTTCCTATAACAAACGGAAAAGCTAGAGAAGTCCCAAGCCTTCCTGCTTACCTGTCTATCACAGTCCTGCAATCAGAGACAAGTCTTAGCCAATGAAAGTACCAAACATTCTCCCTTTTAGACTGGGAACACGTAAGATGCCAGCGCTGTAGACGGCATTTGAAGGATCGGCCCCATGTTTCCTGCCAAGGGTCAGATAAAGCAAGAGTTTCATCACGCCCCCGAAAGACTTGTCTCTTGAAAGAACACCTCCTGTTGCTTCCCGCCATGCCTCTCACTGTCCTCTCTGACATTTAAAACAACAACAACAACTGCTTCCCAGCGTTTCCCAGCTCCATGATCACAGGGACCATGTTACATGGCCATACCGGTGACTAGTATCATATGTGTGGGAAGATGTGACACATATGTCCTCTTTGCGTTCCACTTTGAAGGTGTTTACCAAGTAAATTCTCCGCTACTCCTAGAAGGTAGAAGTTCGAAGTGCATGCCCCCCTCCCCATATGTCCAGAATCTTTCTCTGCAAAACATATTCAAGAGAGCATGATAAAGGGGGCGTGCATTGTCTCACACAGTGGGCCTCAACAAGGGAGGAGCTGACCCTAGAGATTCCAAGATGTCATCAGGTTAATATTGCTCTCTTCCCTTCCCCGCAGCTCCCATCCCTCACCCCAATAGTATTTATTTTGGCAGTTGGCCTAAATTTCTTGTACAGTAAGCTGGTGCCCTCTTCACATGGGGGATCAAGAAGACTTGGCCAAAATCTTACATCTTCTCAGTTTAGTAAAACCAAAGGATAGAATCTCTTGAGTTTAAAAAGAAAGAAAAAGGACAGTCCCACAGAGGAACTATAATTGGCCTGGTGTGGGTGGAGTTCGCATCTCGGCTCCGGTCACTGGCTAGGGAGAAAGAGACCTATGATTGGCCAGGCTTGGGTCACATGTCCAAACCTGACTCTTGTAAGAGTCACATAGACTGAGGCTTGGAAAAAGAGGGTCCTATCCCAAAAAGAAAGGATGCTAAGCTAGGATAAAAGATGATAGATAGATAGACAGACAGACAGACAGACTGATTGATTCTGTGTCCTCCATCCCTCTAGAACTTGGCCTCAAGGCAAACCAGAAGCCCATTTCCTCCTCCCAACAAGTCTTCCTTCTAGGCTTCTGGGAGAGGGGACTGAAATGAACACTTCCATTACCATTTAAAACCTCTTCTCTTTCCTAGCATGGATTTGTACCTGATTCTCTCTAAAAAATGAGGACATATGTCACTAGGGTATTTCTTCCTGATTGTGATTTACATAGAGATTGCAAATGCACAAAACAGTTACATGGGTAGGGATCAGAACAAAAGAAAAATTGCTTCCAAGATAATCTTCCATTGTGATGCTGGTATCGGTGTTAGCAGCATTCCAATACAAAGTGGGAGTTAGTAATTTTGTTTTGGTTTCCATGAAATTAATATAATAGCACAGTTCCATACTGGTATACATTATTTTTATTTATGTAACAAATCACAGTGTGCCTGGAGCAAGATGGGGGTGGGCATACATGTGTGCGTGTGATCGTGCCATCCTGAACTCAGTCCTGTGTAGGGCCCACCCAGGCGGGTCCTACATATATCAATTGTCTTGAAAGCCTGGATTCTGTCCTTCCATGCCTAGCATTTTCTTTTTCCACTGCCCACTACAGTGTTGACACAGTTACTAACCACTCTGTGTGTATCTATGACCAAAACAGACAAGACCCTGTGTGACCTTCAAAGCATGGTGATGCACCCAGAATAGTTTGTAGCTCCTTGAACTTGAATATTAGCTTAAATTATACATTATTAGAAGGGCGAGCCTCTGCTCACATTAAACCATGGATTCCCTAAGCAAACAGTACTTTACTTTTGGACATCACATTGTATTATAAAGTCATTGTGTTAAAGATTTGTTTTATTTTTTTCAGTTATGTGTCAGTATGTGCCATTTGCCCTCAGAGTCCAGAAGAGGGCATTGGATTCCCTAAAGTTGAAGTTACAGGCAGTTGTGAGCTGCCCAGCAGGGTGCTGGGAACTCAACCTAGGTCCTCTGCAAAAGTAATGCATGTTCTTAACCATTGAGGGAGCCATCTCTCCAGCTGCCTTGTTGGTGGGATATTGTGGGCTTTCTCAGAGTCCTCAAGTTTATTTGGGGGAGGGGAGAAGAGAGTTTGTAGGGTTTCTACCCCAATCTCAGACTGCAGCCCCCAAGAAGCTACTTCCTCTCTGTCCCCCTTTTTTCATGGATGAGGGGAAAGGGCCAACTGAGCTGACCTAGCAGAGCAGGAATGCAGGGCACGGAAGTAGAGTAGGAAGTAGGAAGCAGAGAAGAGAGAACGATGTAGAGACAGGGAGGTAGATTTGGGGCGCCCAGGGTGAGAAAGAGCAGCTAGCATTGTGTACATCTGAGCCAAGATTAGAGACTGTGGCGTGGCCCTGTCCTAAGTGTCACGGATAGGGCATTTCTTGAACTTTGATTGTTGTTTTTTAAGACAGGGTCTTGCTATGTAGCCCAGGCTGGCTTCAAACTACCAAACCTACTGTTTCAGCCTCCCAAGTGCTAGGATCACAAGTATACACACACAAACAAGAATTTACTATTTAGGATGGTATGAGCAGAAGTATTACACACACACACACATACACACACACATACATACACACACACATATACACACATACATATACACACACACATACACACACACATATACACACATACATACACACACATACACACACACATACATATACACACATATACACACATACATACACACACACATATACACACACATATACACACATACATACACACACACATACACACACACATATACACACATACACACACACACATACACACACACATATACACACATACACACACACATACACACCTTAAGAGCTAGCAAAGCAATACAAGCAATGAAAGATAAATAAATGTTATATAAAGAAACCGTGGCAATGCTCTGAAGAAAAGCCTAGGTCAAGAATAGGTAATATAGGGTTGGAGATACGGCTCAGCGGTTACAAGGACTGCCTGCTCTTCCAGAGGTCCTGAGTTCAGTTCCCAACAGAGTGACTCATAACTATCAGTAATGAGAATTGGTGCCGTCTTCTGGCCTGCAGGCATACATGCAGACAGAACACTGTATATGTAATGAATAAATATTTTTTAAAAAAAAAATGTGAAACATAGGAGATAAATGAAGGCTACTCTGAGAAAAAATGACATTTGAGCTGAAAACCGAATGAGGAATAAGCGTAGGGATTGTCTGACCCTGGGGTGAAAGAGAAAAAAAAAACCTTACTAAGACCCTTGTGTGCTCAAAGGCCTTGAATTGTCCAGGGCAGGGTTCCCTGAATCCTGAGCAGAAAAAAAAAAAAAAAGCAGTGTGATTGGAGCAGACGAGCTGAGGGGAGAGACCAGAGCCTCCTTGGCTACAGGGCAAGGATTTCTGAGACTCGGCCAGCCTCCGCAGGTGTAGCTAGTGATGACGCAGGGGATTGCTGAGGGGCAGCCTGCTTATCAAAGTCTTGCCTGTCCTTCGGTCCCTGCACCTCCTCTGGGAATTTTTGTCAGCCTCTTGCTGACTCCAGTCCACCCCCACTCTGCACGTGCCTGCCGATGATGCTCGCTCTCGTTACTGCGCTGATTCTCAGTGGCACGTCACCTGTCTCTGCAGTCATCTCACCTGGAGGCTGGCGGGCTCTGCTCAGTGCCTGTCACCGTAGCAAGCGCACAAGCCGGTACTTGGTAAATACTAACTGAATGGGTGAATGGGTGGATGGATGGATGGGATTTTGAGTTGATATCATGAAAAGTCACCCCCTTCTACCTCTGCCTTAGTTCTAGGTTGGGAGAGCCTTCCAGAATGAGTCTGACTTTTCTTTGGAGCAAGCCCTTCAGACGTTTGACACTCGCCGACAACCTAAGCCACATTTTCTAGTCTTGATTTTCCATAATAGCGCTTTAGGTGGTCAGAGCTGATAGCGATCATACATCCCAACCTCCACACTCACACAATTTCCCCAGGGACATGGAATTCTAGGATAAAGCACCTGTTCACCAGGGCCTTGCAGGTTACCACAGAGGGGAAACTGAGGCACTGTCAGTGAAGACGTGGCTTTGCAACGACCCAGTTAATCGGTGTCAAACTCTGACTTGAGATTCGGATCTTTCCCTTTTCCCACTCCCCATCGTCACCCAAAAGAGCTAGTCATCCAAAAATAATGTTTGCTCGGGGAATCCATTATTTAATGTGTTTACAGAGGCTCTCCCTCTAATGATGCATTATTTAAGCTAATATTAAATTTATACCAAGTTGTTTTGTCTGCACAAATGCTGATCCCCACGTGGTGTTGGGTCTTATTCAGTGGCATCTGGGGGTGGATGCTTTTAAGTCCCCCAGGACTGACCCAGAAAGGGAATGAGAATGTCACCTAGCCAGGCTTTTCCCTTGGGGAAGCGAACAGCTAAACTCCAAGGCAGTCCTATCTTCTTTAAAACACTGGAGCCTCTCACAGCATCTGTCCTTCAACCCTGTGGGTTTCCCATCCCTGGAGCCCAACCGGGCCAAGGGTTCTTCTGTGTGTCTAGCTGAAATCTGTCCTGCTGTGTTACGGTTCCATTTCCTGGGAGGGGGCTAGCACAGTGTAATTTCCTCCTTCGTGTTTCTCAGATCACACGCTCCTGGGTGCCCCTAGAGCTGAGTTAGAGTCACCCGCGATGGGCCCAGCAGGGCCATCTTGACGACAGTGTTTCCTTTTCTTGGGGTTTTTTATGAGCCTTCCTGTGACAGGCATGCGCTTGGTGAGATCAAAACATGCTGGGGGGAAATCCCAGAGGGGAAACTATTTCCCCAAATCTGCCCTCTGCAAAAATAAAAACCATGCTAAATAGCTGAGTTTTATTAACTGGGGAAGCTAGGCTGAGGAAAACGCCCGATAATTAAAAATAATGGCTTCCTTACAAACACAAAATTGTATTAATTTAAAAATTGGTTTCTCTATCGCTGAATGCCTGCCGAGCCAGCTGAGAAGGGAATTGTGCTGATCCTGGCAGTGAAAATAATTCAAAATAACTTTTATGTTCTCCAGGAAGCCTCAAGGTTAATTTAAATATTGCGAGTCGGGTAATTTAATTTGGA